AATCCAGGACCCCCAGCCGGGCGCGGGTTAAAAATTGATGACGTCAAATTTTTGAACTCAATTTTTAGCAATTCTAGACCTCGTAGCGCAAAACGGAGACCACCATTGAACTCCCCGTGACGAACTGCATCGAATCGATACCCATTTTATGCAAAAATATCAACTTTGAAATTTGACCTAATTTGACCTGACCTTGACCTGACCTTGACCTGACCTTGACCAAAACGTGACCTAAGCTGGTCCTAAAGTCTGTCTGACCCACATAATCGCATTTGTCATGTAAAATGGACCATAAAACATGTATCACACGACACTTTCATATTGTGACCCCCCAGTGACCTGACCTCTGTGACCTGACCTGGTATCAGTGACCTCAAATAGCAAAATATGTGTTTGAAGAACATTTCCCCATCGATGATTTTCAATGAAATGCATTTTACACGATTTTACAACGCATTTCTTGAAATGCCTGTAAACGGTGAAAATTCGACCTTTGACCTGACCTGTGACGTCATCGGTTTGACCGAGGTCAATGAAATTGGGTCACAAGGTAGTTCCCTGTTGGGGCTATCCAACACCGTTTACCGCTTGTCGCTATGTTGCGTGGTTCTCGAGATCTGAGGGGGGAGGGGCCAAAATGGCCCCCCCCCCATCAGACCGCGTTGCTCGGCAGACCCCATCTGGGCGCGGGTTAACATTTTTTATGTTTTGGACAAAGTTACTATGCCAACGGTTTGGGGTCGATTTTATCATTATTTGCTCCGTTCTGGATCTAGCAGTGACAGAAATAACGATATCAGACCAGTTTTAGGGATCGCGAGCTTGCATTGGAAGTTTTAATTTTACTTGGAAAAATGACTTCATATGAATGGATATGAATGCGCAAAGCCTGAATGTGTTGCAGTGGTATTAATGACTGTTGGACACCGTGCAACATTGCTTTAGTTGTAGATATATTCGACGTGCAGCGGTAAAAGAGAGCACCAAAAATATCATTTTGGTCAATGAACAGCATATGCTCAGTTACACTCACTGTGGCTTAGACCGTCATTCGTACCTACATATACACAAGACCGTAACTCTTAGAACGACTGGCTATGTAGTCAGAGGGCTCAAATCAGTGATCGAAGCTTTCTCATTAGGACCATTTAGTTTTCAATGAGTCGTCTTATTCAGCAAAAGAAATGACTGAACCCCAGGACGTAAACAATGAATATTGACACAATCTGGGTGGGAGGGGCATTAAAAGCCGTTACGGATGTGACGATATAACTCGTGTGTCGTATTGTAACGGAAATATGGCATGAAGTAGATAAATAAGTTGTTAATGGCCTATTTATATCTTTAACGAGGTGAAAACAGCACTGAAGCTATGCCGGTATGCATGACCTTTGCCAATTCGCTAGCCGACCTCCCCTATAGTCCCGGAGTTGCAGACACGGCTGAGGGAGGGGCGCAAGCTTTTTACCACCGCGCCGTTGGGTGACTGCTGTATGAATGTAGCTTTGCCCATCTCCCACAAACACCCACACCCACATACAGACTTTTGTTTAGACTGTTGACATATTGTTGACTTGAGACGGGTGCAGATATCATGCCATGGAACTAGTGCCTGGTGATGGCCGCTGCCAGCAGCGTCCTTGCAAGATAACGGACCTTACGTTGCACTCTACAGGCCCAGTCCAAACCCTCAGATGGTGCAGAACTGAAGTCGAATGGCATTGCCTAAAGCTGGAAATTAGGAAGGTACCAAGTCTAAACGACTCAGCCAACTCCGAGGCAGATCCGTTTACTGACTCCTGGCATTGCCTGGGGGCCGACACATTGGGTGGGCCATGGACCTTAGGTGGCGGAACTAGTTCTCCTCGTCTTCAGCCTCTGCACGCACACTCTTTTATATGACGCCGCGTCCTGGTTACCACCATATACGGCCCATGCAGGATGAAAATCTTCTGCTTCATTAGGTTCTTCAGATTCAGACGCCAATTACCTCAGATCACAAGTGATCTGTGCAAGGAGCTGTGAAAGGTCTTCGTCACTTATCAGCTATGCACGTATCAGCGCATGGCTAGTCGCCCGTGGTCGAAAATGCAAAGTCGTAAATGATGTGCAATGTGCATTGTATCGGAAACTCTTACACTTAAGACGTGTACTCGTATCTGTCCCCACTGAAGAAATGGAATAGTAGGTACATGGTTGGTAGGCATGGAAAGAATCGACGCTTTGGAGTTTATGTTTTTGGATTAGAAGTTGATATTTTTGGGTAGAACACCCAGATTTATTCTACCTTGTCTCATGCGTGTATTACATCGTAGCCGTCAGCGACAGTAGCGGTGGAACACCTTCAATTAGGGGGGGGGGGGGGCACTGCCGACTTTTGGTCCCATTCTTTCCATGCAACGCCCCTAGGGCTAATGTTAAAATGCCAAAATTAAAGGGGGCACGGTGCCCCGGTGCCCTCCCCGTTCCGCCGCCTGTGGTCAGCGATCAGCACTGCTTGTGGAAGTAGGTATACGGTCAAAATGGTTTGATCGTTTTTGAATTACATGGTTTGAAGTCCATTCGGAGCCATAACCTGTGAGATGTATCCTGAGCTAATTTGCGGAAACTTTAATTGTATGGACACAAAAAGCCTGTCATGAACTGAGATGTGGCAACTGAAACGTCATATTTAAGTTTGACCTCACAGGTCATCAAAGGTCACCAATACCAAAGGTCACCAAAGGTCACATGAAGGCAGAAGATATCAAAAATGATTACACGCCGACCAGAATGATACCAACAACAGGAGCAAAACATCACGGCGCTTTTCACCAAATGTTGCAATATCGACTTGTATTGATCGCTAGTAAGGCATTTAACCGGAACCACGTGATGGAGCACATCGATCTGGATGAAAAAGGAGCGCTCAATGACCCCTCTACCCGACTTTCGAAACAAAAAGTTTGCCTTTGGTGCGATTTACTATCAGCGTAAAATAGGCATATTTCTAGGTAAATACGCAAATTTCAATCTCAATTCGCGACCCCTAAACCACCTTTGATTTCAATATTTTTGGCATCATTGGAATCAGGAGCCGCGAAATAATGGGGAAAACTACCCCCACCCTCAAATTTCCAAAATCGGGAAAAATGGGTACCCCTACTGTACATCGTCGAACAACATGTTCCATGATAGGTGGGAGGTAAGACTGGCAAAAAAGGCCGAAATCAAGGTGTCAAAAGCTCACAAAGCCCATGGCAAACGTAAGATGCTGTGAATTGGCCATTTGGGTCATGACATGACCTGAAAAAGAAGGTCATATCTCCAAAACAAAACATCACAGAAACTTTAGAGTTTAAGTGGACATCAAGAAAGGTTAGCGGAGCAGCTATACCAAAAATCAGCCTTCTAGCTCAAAAATGTTGAGTGCAGAGCAGAAAGACTACCTGGGGGAGGGGGGGTGGTGGTGGCAACCCCCCCTTGTGCGGGCGAGGGTTAAAATTGGGTATCAACGGCTTTCTCACGTGACGGGCAACACGCTCGTTTTTACCGTGAAGTGCTAGCTCGATCAGGGGCCAAAGGCGAGGGGGGTCGTATCCCCCCCCCCCGTGTGCCGTCGAAGGACGCAAAATGGCCTGTGCCGGCGAGGGTTAACCCGCCTGGGGTCTGTGTATAACGCGCCCTACTGTGGGGCAGGGGGCTCCTAACTCCGAAACTATTGGGCCGACTTCGTCAAAATTCAAACAGTATCTGATAGCCTTGTAAAAACTGTCCAGACAAGCCTAATTTCATTGACCTCGAGGTCACCGATGACGTTACAGGTCAGGTCAAAGTAAAAATTATCAATGTTTTGCTTGTTCACATTTTGGGCTCTGGCTGCCGTCTTACAAGTCAGATCAGGCTGATTTTTTGAAAACACACTCGTGAATAGATGCCTTTGATATCCTGAGGGTACCACACTTGTACTTTGATTTTCAGGTGAGGGTCAGGTCATCATAGGTCACGGAAATCTTATATAATAAGTCGGTCGAGTGACACATGTTTTATGGTTCATTTAGGCCATAGCTTTCGAAATCGGTGTCGCCTGTCATTTGAGGCCATTTTTATCTGAATATAGCTGAGGTCAGGTCACTTTCAGGTCAAAAAAGGTCAAATTTTAAAGTTGAAATTTTTCACTAGAAAACATGTCTATCGGATGCAGTTTGAGCTGAGGAACACGATGGTTCTATTTATTTCGGTGTACAATGTCAAATTCGTACTGAAAAATTGATTTGAAGAATTTAAAAATGTGAAATTTTGCTATAATGCGTGTAGCTTGGCCATTTTTGAAGATATCTGGCTAAAACCTCCTAGAGTAAGTCATAAGCATGTGTTCTATCATACCTATATATTCCGTTTTTTTTTCGAAAAATCAAAATCTTTTTTAAAAAAAGATAAGACTACAAATTTTGAATTTTAATAAACATAACTTTCTAAACTTTTTTACAATTTTGAAAATCCGAGATAACAGTTTGATAGCGCTGTCCATTCTGAGTCCTCTCATGCAACGAAATTGGACCTAGCTAAAAAACTGAGCTCTTGGGAGCGATTCCCGTGGTTCAATGTTTTGCGTCGAAATCGGACGAACATGACGTCACTCTGACGTCATTTCCGGCCCACCTATGATAGATACGAAGTTGAAATTAAAAAAAGGTCAAATTGATGCAGCTGAAGGTACTGAAAGTTTAGCGGCGATACGTCAAGCGGTTTAGAAGCTATTGCAGAAAACCCCCAGTGCAGTGGGTCGCGGATTGAAGGTGTTTACCTCGGGTCGAGGTCAGGACAGTGGTCTAATCGTGCGCAGGGAGAAGAGACCTGGGATCGAACTTCCACATTAGAGAAACGAATTAGTTTTTTTACTACTCTGAAACGTCACGGATGTATGTATGTGTTTATGATTGTTGTGCCCTATCCAAGGAATGACACTTTCTGGCGGACCTGAGGGTGTGGCTGACCCGAGACCTGTACTTTCCGCTCAGGAGGTGCGTCCCCTCATGGACCGCCTGTGCGACGAGCTGAAGGGTCTGAAGGAAGCCGTCATAACTCTGATTGGACAGCAGTGGCCGCCGGCGGCCGGCCCGCACACCCGGCCCCAGAGTTCCGCGGAGCTGCGGGACGCGGTGCTGGCCGACGTTCGCGACATGCTGAACGAGGAGCTGCGGCAGCTGCGCCGAGAGCTGCAGAAGCTGAGCGTGAGTCAGGGGGACGTCTCATTGTGTTTGTCTTGTTGAGACGCATCGACTGATATGCATCATGACCTTTTCCGGTAAGGTCATGACCTTGACCTGAGGTCAAATTTTGAAGTTACCCTTCAATGTCAAATTATAGTTCTTTCGACGCGTCTCGACGAGGGGAACACGATTCTGTTAATAAAAATGTGGTGGCTTTTGGTAGTCGAAAGTTATTGTCGAAAAACACTTTTCGTGAAAACAGCTATTTTTGGAGTTTTTGCCCTCTGGAGGCTAAACCGTTGACCTGAGGTCAATATTGATACGACCTTTTCAAAAGAAGAGTTCAAAAGCTATCGATTGCTTTTCCATGCTTTTTTCTAGCTACCATAGTACCTGAGATAGCGGCATGTTTTCTGAAAAATATCATGACAATTGGCAAATTTTGACCTTTGATGACGTCTGGTGACCCCAATGTTGCTCTAAGGTGAAAAATGACCGTAATACTTTCAAACGTACGCATTGAGAGCTATCGACTGCTTTTTACCGCGTCTTTCTAGCCCTCTTAGTTTTTGAGTTAGAGGTGGGTGGTAACATATGCCCCCCCCCCCCCCCCACTAGGGCGAAGTTGGCTGAGACCGCCACTGGGGCGCGGGTTAAAAACTGAGCTCTTGGGAGCGATTCCAATGGTTCAATGTTTTGCGTCGAAATCGGCCGAACATGACGTCACTCTGACGTCATTTCCGGCCGACCTATGATAGATACGAAGTTGAAATTTAAAAAAAAGTATCAAATTGATGCAGCCGAAGGTACTGAAAGTTTGGCGGCGATACGTCAAGCGGTTTAGAAGCTATTGCAGAAAACCCCCAGTGCAGTGGGTCGCGGATTGAAGGTGTTGACCTCGGGTCGAGGTCAGGACAGTGGTCGAATCGTGCGCAGGGAGAAGAGACCTGGGATGGAACTTTCACATAGAAGAAACGAATTAGGGTTTTTGGACTACCATGAAACGTCATCGGATGTAGTATGTGTGGCGTGATGCTAATCTGTATTTTTCGCTCACTATCACACACAACACAAATAACACAGAACGTGACATATTCACGTGACACTTATCCGGCTGCCTACATCTAAGCAGCCGGCACATCCTCCGTTTTTCATTTCTGATGTGACCTACTCCTCAGCATATACGGTGACCGAGATCTCTGGTTCCCAGTGATCTGAGGTTCCGGTCCTCTCCGGGAAACCTGAGGTGGTGCTGCTGCCTCTTGGCGTGGTGGCACTCTTAGGTACAAGCTTCCGTCGCTGGTTTCTCTTCTCTTTGTCGAGTCCGTTGTGTCCTGACAGGGGCTGTAGTTCCGCAGATGACGTCGATTTCTTCGGTACACTCGTCCATCCTCTGTTTTGACTGCATAGGATCGGTTGCTGTCTCGACTTACAACTACGGCGGGTCTCCATTTTTGCTGGCCGGGTATCGGTGCCATCAGCACCGGCGTGCTGGTCTGCATGGGGGGGGAGATCCTTTGCAGTTCTGTTATAATATTTCTGCTGCTTTTCTTTTCTTTCCTGAAGGCCCCTTTCTGCACCAAGCGGTACTTCGGGATTGAGCAGTTTTCCATGGATGGGTAGCATAGTTCGAGTACGCCGTCCCATGAGTTGTTGCGCCGGGGAACTGCCGACATTTTCTGACGGTAGGTTTCGCATTTCTAGTAATGCTAGATATGGATCTGATTTTGTCTCGCATGTTCTTGTCATCATTCTCTTCATTTGCTTCACCGCGTTTTCGGCCTTTCCGTTAGACTGTGGATATCCGGGAGAACTCGTCGTGTGTTTGAATTCGTACATCTCAGCGAACTCGCTGAAATCCCTTGAGTTGAAGGGAGGGCCATTGTCGCTGACGAGCTCCATTGGAATACCATAGCGTGCCATATGTCCTTTTAGCAGTCTGATGATTTCTTTCGTGGTCTTGTTGTGCACTCTGTCGCATTCTATGAAGTCGGAATAGTAATCTACAGTGACTAGATATGACCAGCCTGCAAACTCCATGAGGTCACAGCCGATCCTCTCCCATGGTCTTGCTGGTACTTTGTAGGATATGAGTGTCTCTTTCTGTTGGGCTGGCTGATAAGCCGCACATGCTGTACATTTGGAGACATAGTCTTTTATGTCTTCGTTCATGTTTGGCCAGTACAGGGCTTCTCTTGCTCTACGCATGCACGTTTGCACTCCAGCATGCGACAAGTGCACGCGTTCCAGCAGGTAGCGCCTTGCGCTGACAGGTACGAAAATTCGATCACCTTTAAATATTACTCCCTTGTTGACAGATAACGTGCTCCTGAGATCGAAATACCTGCGTGCTTCCATCGGTACATCACTTTTATGTTTTGGCCATCCTTTGCTGATGAGTTCTGCGAGTGTGCATGCTTCCATGTCGTTTTCTGACTCTGTTCTCAGGAAAATAGCCGTTTTGTCAGATATCGGCAGGTAGTCTTCTATCTCCAGTTGTTCTATGTTAGCTTCTTCTTGGCATCTTCCAAGTGAAGCATAGTATATTTCATCCAGATGTTCCGTGTTCTTATCCGGGAGCTGAGCTCTGCTAAGTGTATCGGCTAGATGCATGTCAACTCCCCTTTTGTACTCTATATGGAAGTCGAATTTCTGCACCGCTAGCATCATCCGTTGCAAGCGTTTCGGTGTTTCAGCGAGGCTTTTGAGCTGGATCTGTTCCAATGGCTTGTGGTCCGACTGTATTGTCACCTCTCTTCCCAAGGTGTACCGTTCGAACTTGTTCAGTCCGTAGACAATCGCGAGCATTTCTTTTTCGATTTGGGCATAGTGTCTCTCAGCGTTGGTGAGCGTTCGAGAGGCATAGGCGACTGGCTGACCGCATTGCATTAGACACGCACCAAGCCCCTCTTGAGACGCGTCCACCTGGAGACTAGTCTCGTCTTTGGTACTGAAGTATTTCAGAACAGGTGCCTCGACGATCAGCTTCTTTATGGCTCGTAGAGCCTCGCCGTGGATGCAGTCGTCAAAAAGGAAAGGTGCATCATCCTTCAGAAGCTGACGGAGTGGTGCTGCTACTGTCGACAGGTTTGGGGAAAACTTTTGAAGATAGTTGACCATTCCCAGCAGCCTCTGCACACCTTTCTTATCTTTTGGGGCTGGCATGGATTGGATAGCACGCGTCTTCTCTGGGTCAACTTGTGGACCTCGATCCGTGAATAGGTGACCCATGTAGGCTACTTGTTTTTGTTTCAGCTTCATCTTGTTCATGTTCAATCTTATACCTCTTTCTCTACATCTTTCTAGTAGAGCTTTCAGTTTCCTGTCATGATCTGTGACAGCCTCTTCGTATGTGTCGCCTTCCCCGTAGATCAGAATGTCGTCGGCAATAGCCTTTATGCCATCTAGACCTTCTAGCTCTTGGTTTAGCCTTCTTTGAAATTCTTCTGATGCCACGGCTATACCAAATGGCAAATACCACTTCTGACACCATGTGGCGTGATGCTAATCTGTATTTTTCGCTCACTATCACACACAACACAAATAACACAGAACGTGACATATTCACGTGACACTTATCCGGCTGCCTACATCTAAGCAGCCGGCACAGTATGTGTTTATGATTGTTGTGCCCTACCCAAGGAATGACACTTCCTGAGGGTGTGGCTGTGGCTGAGGGTGTGGCTGTGGCTGAGGGTGTGGCTGTGGCTGCGGACCTGAGGGTGTGGCTGACCCGAGACCTGTACTTTCCGCTCAGGAGGTGCGTCCCCTCATGGACCGCCTGTGCGACGAGCTGCAGGGTCTGAAGGAAGCCGTCATAACTCTGACGGAACAGCAGTCGCCGCCGGCGGCCGGCCCGCACACCCGGCCCCAGAGTTCCGCAGAGCTGCGGGACACGGTGCTGGCCGACGTTCGCGGCATGCTGAACGAGGAGCTGCGCCAGCTGCGCCGAGAGCTGCAGGAGCTGAGCGTGAGTCAGGGGGACGGCGATTCAGGCCTACTGGGACGGAGGGCTGCTGGCCCGTCAAACCCGGCGGTGGGTGGCCTCTGCAGTCACAACAATGTCCGACCGCGTCATCAATGGCAGAGACCTTCACTGTGCTGACCATGTTTATCTCACACCCTTGTTTATTTAACCATCGCCGGTACGAGGTGTGGCTAAAAAGAAACCGGACTGCTTGTGCTGGCCATAAAGTGGGGGGCCCGAAAACTAGCGAGACACTTGACATTAATCTTTATCATATTGTGGTGATGTGTGCCAAACGGCATCTCGATATCGCTATTATTCTCCTTTCCACAGCTCTTTGTTTTATCGATGTTCGGCGGCCTTGTCACAGTCAGGCTTCTACAATGAGCTTCGAAAAAAGAAGGAACATCACGTTCCTTGCCAAACTCATCAGAGACGCTGAATCTGTTCAAGGCTTTAATGTTATGTTAGGTCATATGTCACATGGAAGTGTTTGAATGGCATACGAGGTTCAGCACTGGTCGTGAGGATATCTGTGATGACCCCAAGGTCTGGAGGTCCATCAACGTTCGCGCGCATGTCGAAGTTGAGGGTGGAGACGACATTGAGCGTCTTTTTTCGATCATAGGGGATTCGTTCACCGCCAGTTCGTGCTGGAGGTGTACCACAGTCGACCAGCATTTCTACAAGGAAGACCCGGGACGCCTCATTTCACGAGTCCGGCGCACCAAGTGAAATTTCTGGGAAGCCAAGAACTGGGTGCTTCATCACGACAACGCTCCAGCGCATTCTGCCATTAGCGTCAAGCAGTTTTTTGCCAAAAAGCAGGTTGCGGTGCTCAAGCACCCTCTTATTTGTCAGACCTCCCTCCCTGTCACTTTTGGCTGTTCCTTTAACCCTCGCCGGACCTATTGGTTTTCTACATACGCGCCGGCCGAGGGGGGGGGGGGGCGGGTACGACCCCCCCCTCGCCGTTTCGCCCCTGGTGGAGCTAGCGCGTCGCGGAAAAAACGAGCGTGTGCGCCGTTACGAGACGCAGAGATTGGTACCCGATTTTAAGGTCCTAGGTCAACCGGTGACCTCTGAGGTCAGGTCAAGTGCCCCAGGGTACGGTTCAGTTTTTGGTGAATAACTTCGCAAAAAACGGCCGCAGAGCCGCGATTTTGGCAGCATCGTGTTTGCCTTGATCAGGCGCGTCGAATGATATACTTTTTGTCCGGGTCAGGTCAACTTGGGGTGTTGACCTCAGGTCAAGGTCAGGTCAGCACCCCCAGGTCACGAAGTTGGTCGAAAGAGGTCATGTCGCATATCATTCGATTCGGCAGGTCTTCCTGAGTCCATTGGTGGCTTTCCCGACTCGCTAGCTCAATTTGATCGGGAGTTATTGACGAAAAACTAATATGACCTTGATGACGTCATAAATGACGTCACGGAAGGTCAACATTGCAAAAGTGACGCATCTAACCTTCCAAGGAGTGCATCAAATCACGATTCTGTGTGCTTGAGATAGTTGGAGATCGTTCCCGGCGCCAGAATAGCAGTTTTCATTTTTCCCCATTGACTTATAATGGTGAGGTCACGAAAATGACCTGACCTCATATGACCTTTAGGAAAAATCCGAGATATACAAGTTGTGAGACTCATAATGGATACTAGATCCTGCAAGTTTCATTTCCCTGTGACATCTCCTCTGGCAGTGAGGGCGTTGCGAAGTTGCGACATCTGAAGACCGTGCAGAGGTTCACTTATGACGTCATAGGTCAGTGACCTGACCTGACCCAAAAATGCGGTTGGTGTCAAAAGATGTGGCTTGGATCAAAGGTCAGGTATGCCAAGTTTCAGCTCTCTATCGCCAGCGTGTTTGGAGCTATCGCGAAAAAACCCTATGGGGGGGGGCGGCACCCGCCCCCCCCCCTCGGCCGGCGAGGGTTAACCCTCGCCCGCACATGGGGGGGGGGGGGGTTGGTTGCCACCCCCCCTCAGGTAGTCTTTCTGCTCTGCACTCAACATTTTTTTTAGCTAGAAGGCTGATTTTTCGTATAGCTGCTCCTCTATCCTTTCTTGATGTCCACTGAAAATTTCAAGTTTCTGTGATTTTTGGTTTCGGAGATATGACCTTGTTTTTCAGGTCATGTCATGACCCAAATGGCCAATTCTCAACATCTTGCGTTTGCCATGGGCCTTATGAGCTTTTGACACCCTGATTTCGGCCTTTTTTGCCAGTCTTACCTCCTAACTATCATGGAACATGTTGTTTGACGATGTACAGGGGTCAAGGTCAGGGTCAAGGTCAACCTAGGTCACCTAAGATAATTGCGTTTTAGGGAAGCTGAATTTACTTTTTTTGAAGTTTTTTGACTGCATTTTTGGTAAAAGCTTCTCAGATCATGATTTCATGTAATATGGACCCAAAAACAATCGGTGCACACATCAGTATACACACAGACACACACAGACATACAAACACATATAATTGACCTTGACCTAACTTGACCTGAAATGACCTCAGCAGCAAAATTCTGGTCGGGTAGTGTGACAAAGAGGTTCTAGCTGGCTTGGCACCAGAAAACAGCATCGTCATCGGTATTTGATAAGCAGCACACTTGATATCCAACGGTGACCCAAAACAGCAACATTTTTTAGTTTGACCTGACCTGGAAGGTCAATGACTGACCTGAGAAGGTAAAACTGGGTATCATTGGATTCGTCTCTTCCCAAAGAATCTTTTTGGTCCTTACTGCTAAGCTCTATCTCGAACAGGAACGAAATGGCGCGGGGGGTGGCAACCCCCCCCCCCCCATGTGCGTTCTAGGATGGGAAAATGGCATGTGCGGGCGAGGGTTAAAGGAAATAGTTCACTTTCACGAAATTATTTTTTTTTGCAACGATTTATGATTTATTATGTTCAAAATAATCAGCAAAGAAAATAAAACCTTTTTATAACAAAATATTTTTTTTTTCTATATTTTGATATAGGAAGAACTTTTCAGTTTCTGTAAGGCACAGGCGATCCAGTATGAAAAGAGCATGGGTCCCGAAAATTCTTCAGAAACAGAGAAATTATCGCAGCCACCGGCATTTGGGCGATCTGCTCGATCTGATAATGTTCCCCTGAATGTCCTAATTGATCAGTACGATAATTTCTCTAGAGTTCTCGTAGATAATTTCTCTAGTTTCTGAAGAATTTTCGGGACCCATGCTCTTTTCATACTGGATGGAAATATATGCAAGGCACACATCCTCAACGCAAGACACCTTTTTCGGGACGAGAAATAGAATATCTTTGCCTAGGGTGATCGTTGGGCTGTAAAAGCTCCTGATTTATGCTCGTCTCAGCCCAAGCTACGGAACTGCTATTCCAGTTCAAAACCCATGTTAAAAAGTGAACTATTTCCTTTAAAGGGACCCTCCCACCTTCAAAAAAGTAAATGAATTGGCACGAAAGTGATGTCGCTCGGTTCAGAAAGAGCGAAAACGAATGTCTACCAAATTTCATCGAAAAATATTCACCGGTTTTCAAGATATTAGACTTTTACTTTTGTTTACTTTTTGGGATCTCCGCTGTTCCTAGCGACTTTATTTGAAAGTGCGGCATTTGTTGCGCGCAAAGCAGCATACACCACCGCGTGCTACCAAACGTTTTAGTAAAAGATTTAAAAATCGTTAGATCTCCGCTGACGTCACAAATTCTAAGGGGGCATACCAATGCACTAGCCCCTTAGAATCCGAAAACTGCAAGTTTGAAATTCCATATCTCCGAATTAAAGCATTTGTCGATGTTGTGAGTGCCCAAACCGGTATTTGCAGGCCATGGCCACCAATTTGGCTATCTCAACTCAAAACTAATGTTAAGGTGGGAGTGTCCCTTTAAATGAAAAAGGTCGTCAAGGGAACCCATTTTGAATCGGTCGAGGACATCCAGACCAGAGTGACCAGCATCAGCGTCATCAATAAAACAGAGAGCTGTGGAAAGGAGAATAATAGCGATATCGAGATGCCGCTTGGCACACATCACCACAATATGATAAAGATTAATGTCAAGTGTCTCGCTAGTTTTCGGGCCCCCCACTTTATGGCCAGCACAAGCAGTCCGGTTTCTTTTTAGCCACACCTCGTATGTTGTGTCGGATCTCATCACATTGCGAGGAACGATAAGTGTTGTGCATGTTCTGGCGTATCGTGCTCCTAGATAGTGTCCCGTTGTCACTGAAGTCTCCACCTCTGACACTCCTTCTGCCCCTTCGGCAGCTGGAGGTGGACCAGATGAAGAACCAGAGGCAGCTAGAGGTGCAGGTGGCACCACAGCTGCAGCAGCTCCCCATACCGCAAGAGCTGTTTTCCTGCGGTGGCAAGGCCCCCGCCACGACGGCTTCCACCATCTTCGGGTCGGGGTTTAGTAAGACGACGCCCTCTACCGGGACGGTCTCCAGCACGAACGGCGGTATCAAGCTCGACCAGGCGCCGTCGGCCTGGACTGGCGGTACCACGACTGGCGCCTCTGCTGCCGCCTCCACTGGCTTCAGCTTTGGACCGACCACAGCGCCACCTGCTCAGCCGAGCACGCCGAGCTTCTCGTTCCGTCCGCCGACCGCCGAGGGCGCCACCAGCACACCGGCCAAGGTCAGTCAGTCAGAATACAAACCGTCAGCCAGCTACGAACGATGCCCCCAGGGCTCACTGCCTTTCCCGAGGCACGTGGCTAATAGCTTCTCGCCCCACTCTGTCCATCACTATTGTCTGCCCATAGAATAGTGCCACACTCTCCATTTCGTCGCCAGTTCGCCTGCTAACCTTGCTCATGGAATGTTCAGCTTATAGTGACTACCTATATCTGCCTCCATCGATATCCGCACCGTTCCATCGTTTCCATCCTCAGGATAGCCAAATCCTTCTCCTCCACGCCGCAACCGCCTGATCCGGGCTGGACGGGCAACTTTATCCCATGCGGGATTGCCCGTAAGCCGAGCACCGCCCGTAGCCGGGTGCGGTGAGTGCTGGGGGAGCCCCCCCCCCTTCCCCAGCAGGGCGTGGAAATCCAGGACCCCCAGCGGGGCGCGGATTTATAATCGGGTATCATTTACTGCGTATGGTAACAGCGCACACGCTCGTTTTTTCCGCAACGCTCTTGAGCTCCATCAGGGGCATAACGGCGAGGGGGTTCGTACCCCCCCCCCTTCCATCGGCCGGCACGTGCGAGTATGTAGAAAATATAAAAGGTCCAGCGAGGGCTAAGTGTTCCCTTGGCCTTGTCATTGTTCCTTTATTTTATAATGTATTTTCATGTGTTCAACTACTGATGTGTTTAACTGGATGTCTGAACTAAAGCCGCCCCTGCACCGTTTTCTATCGCAGGCAAGGGGCGAGAACACCACGGAGGAGGGGCCTGTCAGCTCGACCTCTGGCTCTGGCGCCGCGGTCTCCAATACCACCACCTCCAGCGCCGCGACCTCCGCCCCCGCCGCTGCACCGGCCGCCGCCACTGAATCCGGCTTCTCGTTATATAACGCCGAATATCTCGTTATATATAAGCCGAATATCTCCGGCTTCTCGTTCGGTAGCAGGTTCGGTGGTACACCGGCTGCCCAGAGCACGGCTACGGACGGCCCCAGCACCAGCTTCACGTTCCGACTGCCGGCCACCGCCAGCGCCACAGCGGCAGCAACAGACTCTGGTAAGTTGGCGAAAGGCATAATCATCGCGCACAGCTATCAGGAGACCCACGCTAGGCTGATACTATAGCATTGCTTAACCCGCGCCCTGCTGGGGGGGGGGGGTGTTTGAACACCCCCCCTTGTGGTTTTTCGCGCATATCACAAAAACGGCGGCGCGGAGCGCCGCCGTTTTTGGTACACCTTATCGTACATCAATTCTACACATGTTGTGAAAATTTCAGACCAAGGTCATTCAAGGTCAAGTCACCAGATCACTTGAAGTGACCTCACCTCATAAAAAGTTTCAATGTCTGTCATAGCTACACCGAGTGACCGATCGCTTTGAAACTTTCAGCGATTGCTAAGAGCAATAGCATGTACAAAATGTATATCTCAGAATTTTGATATCGATGACCTAAGGTCAGGTCAATTTTGCGACCTCCCCATTATAAGTCTATGGGAGAAAATTGAAATGCGCCTCTTTTGGACAAAAGACATTATTAACACTCCCAAACACCGAATTACAAGTGGCTTAGACACACTGAACATGAAAATGGTGTCCGTGACCCTTGTTTATGCCCTGAGGTCATCTTAGGTCACGAATGGTATCGAACATTTTTTCGCAAATAACTTTTGATAGAGGCATGCTAGAGCGATGAAAACGCCTTAGATGTGTTCAGCTCGACGATACGGATCGACTGATATGCAACATGACCCTTTCCGGTCAGGTCATAACCTTGACCTGGGGTCAAATTTTCAAGTTGACCTTGCAAGGTCAACTTATAGTTCATTCGATGCGTCTTGACGAGAGGAACACAATGCCGGTAAAAGTAAGCTCGTACAAGGCTTGGGTCAAAAGTTATTGCAGAAAAACTGTTTCCGGAAAAATCGGCTATTTTTGCAATTTTTGCCCCCTGCAGGCAAAACCGTTGACGTTAGGTCAAATCTGAGAGAATTACTCAGAAAGGGCTTTAATAGGGCTATCGAATGCACTTTTCCGCGGCGCTGTAGCTCTATTAGTTCTCGAGTTATGCGTTGGCTTCTTGGAAATTTTCGACATTCGACCTGGAAATCGGCGAAATTTTGCCTTCAATGACCTCTGGTGACCTGACCTTTGACCTGACCAAAAAATTGACCGAAGTAATTTCGTCATTATTTTTGACGCTCTTTCGAACGCCGCCTTCCGCGTATCGCTACGTGGCCCAGGAGCCGAGTTACAAGGGGGGGGTGTTCAAACACCCCCCCCCCCCCAGCAGGGCGTGGAAATCCAGGACCCCCAGCCGGGCGCGGGTTAAGAAATGGCAGGTAGTCATGCATGAGACGTTCAGGCGTACTTAGTACTGTCGTGTAAATAGTGGGATCAAATAATGGTCTGACGATGTCTTGTCATCGGTGTGGTGGGGCGATGAGCTTACAAAAAATGTGTCGCCGTTTCAATCATTACACGACGTCTAATGGCTTTCGCTATCCGTTAACACCGCCGTTCTTCTCTCTTACCGCGACAGACTCGGATGAGGTGACTGTGGTGGGCGAGGTTCAGCCGACCGAGGAGCAGCGCGCTGCCGCCGCCCGGCTCCAGCTGCCGGCCGGCTTCTACCTGTACGAACAGCGACCGCCGTGCCGGGGATGCCGCGGCTGCTGGGACCAGATGCCCGGAGAGGTAAGAGTCAACAGTCAGCTGAGGCAACAGTCAGAACGAGTGTTTTAGTGAGATGTCATTTTGTATGCATGCACGTTTTCATCTAGATTAATCGCTGCTCCAAACTCAAGTGCGGTTGGCATTTTTCCTCGATTCTTATGATATTTTTATGTGTTCCACTGGATGTAGAACCTGCACTAAAATAACCCGTTCCGTTTTCTATCGCAGGCAAGGGGCGAGAACACCACGGAGGAGGGACCTGTCAGCTCGACCTCTGGCTCTGGCGCCGCGGTCTCCAATACCACCACCTCCAGCGCCGTGACCTCTGCCCCCGCCGCCGGCGCCGGAGCGGCCACTCCCAACAGCTCCTTCCATTTCAAGGCTGCCCCGTTTTGGTTTGCGTTCGGCGGCGACCAGAGTAAGGTCGGCGAGGCGACTCCCAAGGCCACGTTCGAGTTCGGCGTGTCGTCCGCAGCCTCCTCGCCGTTCAAATTCTCACTCGGCGGCGACGCCGACAAGTCTGGATCCTCGATCTTCGGAGGAGCGGCGGCAGCGGACACAAAGACCACGTCAATATTTGGAGGTTCAACGGGTAACAAGACAACTTCGATCTTCGGAGGAGCGTCGTCAACTGAAACCAAACCTGTGTCTATTTTCGGAGGAACACCCTCTTCCGAAGCCAAAACCACGTCCATCTTTGGTACCCCATCGGTGTTCGGAGGAAAGGGAGCTGACAAAGCCGTATCTTTCTTCGGTGGTTCGACCACCACCGACAAGACATCCAAAGAAAACCAGATATTCGGCGGCTCCGGGACTGACTCCAAGCCCGCCTCTCTGTTCGGCGGCTTTGGTGTGGCCTCTGGTGCCCAGTCGTCTCCGTTCGGCTCCGGCTCCTCAATGTTAAGTGGATGGCCGTCGTTCGGTAGCGCCGCGTCTAAGCCGGCCTCCAGCGAGAGCGGCGCCGCCGCCAAGCCACCTACTCCGGCCAACTCGTCCGCCCCCAAGGCGCCTGAGCCGGCCAGCTCCGGCTCGGCCCCGTCGGCACCACCGGCCACTGCTACTGGATCGACTGGTGCCGGCGCTGCGGCCACCCCGGCCCCGTCGGCACCACCGGCCGCCGCCACTGGATCGACTGGTGCCGGCGCTGCGGCCACCCCGGCCCCGACCAATGGGTGAGGCTCCGAACTAGGGATGTCTATTTTAGAAAACATGTGTCCAATGTCTGTCCAATGTCCAATGCTTACGTCGACCGTTTGTCCAAAAATGTCCAAGCCAGCCATTTGTCCAAAGATGTCCGACATCTACGCAATAGTTTACACTCAACACCGTTATTTAACCCTCGCCCATGTAGGGGGGGGGTGCAACCCCCCCTGAGGTTTTTCTTAGCTACACGCCGAACCGTTTCAGATAGCCTGCTCAAATTTTCAGTACCCTTTGGGGCATCCTTTGCGCAACTTTTGTTTTTTTTTGTCAAGGTCATGTCAGGTCACGGAGTTATGACGTCATAAAGGGAACAACCTCCAGCCAGATTTACGCTAAATTGGAGATTGCTTCACATTGGTATAAATGCCGACTGACCTGACACACTGATGGATTGTTTTAGAATCACAACTGGCTGATTTGACATTGGCACAATGTCCGTTGACATTTTGAAGGTTACTAAAGGTCAAGGTAAGGTCAGTGACCTCGGTTGACCTGTAATGACTTCTTGCACTTGTATGCCTTTTCGGGGTGTTTTGATGCCCTGAATTCGAACTTGCTATCCATTTCAGGCATCGTCGGATGTTTCTTGTAGTTCATTTGGGGTCAGGGTCAGGTCAGTGACGTCACACGCCTGACGTGACCCAATGCACAAATGACCTTGCAGACTTCCGATGCTCCCAACGCATCATTTTTAGAGTTATGACATCGAAATACACACCAAACGATAGAGAATTGATCGAGGATCACGACAGTGAAGATTTCAAGTCGATATCTCTTACAGTTTTGCCGCGATCGGCGCGGAAATCTGAAAAAGTTAGATTTTTCCGAAAAATTGACCTTTGACCGGTCATAAGTAGGTCAAATATTAACCCTCGCATGTGTAGGGGGGGGGTCGGATGGACCTCCCCCCATGGTTTTTCGCGAATAACTCGCGTAAAAAGCGGCCGATCGCGACGAAACTTTCAGTACCCTCGCATTGATCAATTTTACACCTATCCTGAAAATTTCATGACCCTGACCCAAATGACCTTTGACCTGTGACCTCTTTTCCGAGACCATGTTTGGCCGTAATCGCGATTTCGCGTATGTCGGCTCGCACTAGCCGCACGTTTGCAAGCTTTTCGTGGTTTCAAACGTTCAAACATGTGATTTGATGTTACTCCCGTGGGTGTCAAGGTCACCTGAAGGTCAGGTCAGATCATTGACCTTTGGTGACCTCGGGTGACCTCGGTTCACTTTTTCGAGTTTTACATGTTTCTAGGCTAGTTTTTGGAGCTGAATTCGAATTTAGCAACCATTTGAACATTTACGAAGTAGTTTTGGTGACTTCGTAACATGTTACGAAGCTGTCAGAGGTGGTTGACACATACTACGAATACCCGTCACGACGCCTACTGGTTGACCTGACCTGACCTGACCCGACCTGGTCTAAATGCTTCAAGACATCATCCGTGATCAAAACTAACACGATATTCGTGATCAGCACCCCGAAAACCCCTTAGCAGTCACACTTTACGACTTTCTAACAGGTCCCGATTTTCCCGACTTTGGGTCATTGACCTGACCTGGAAGGTCAACCAATGACCTAGGACCTTAAAATTGGGTATCATCGGCTTCCTCTCGTCACGGGCAACACGCTCGTTTTTTCCGCGAAGCTCTAGTTCGATCAGGGGCCAAACGGCAAGGGGGGGGGGTCCAACCGACCCCCCCTACACATTCACTCAAAACTCAAATGATTCCTTTTTTGGTGTAAATGGGGTGTGGTCTAAAACGATACCCACTTTACGCCCTACCTAGACCAGAAGAACACCATCTTAACCCTATCGAAACACCAAACATACACCCTGTACACCTGTCGAACACCGTTCATACACCCCTCTTGCACCCTTTTAACACCACCAGTAAACCTATATGACACCCGTATCATACCCACTTGCACCGGGTTAACACCCCCTGAACCAGCTTTATGCCACCTTTGCACCTTATGTGCACTCTTTTTACTCTTGTGCTACACCACTTTGCACCCATTTTACTCCTGTTCTACACTCCCTTTGCACCCATTTTACTCCTGTTGTACACCCCCTTTGCACCCATATTACTCCTGTTCTACACCCCCTTTGCACCCATTTTACTCCTGTTCTACACCCTCTTTGCACCCATTCTACTCCTGTTCTACACCCTCTTTGCACCCATTTTACTCCTGTTCTACACTCCCCTAGCACCCACGGTACACCCGGCTAGCACCATCCATGCACCGCTCCCCAACACCACCGCTCCCCACCTTTTTCATTCGCAGACCCGTCACCAAAGTCAGCCAGCTGGTGCAACATTTATTACAACGAAACTTAAAACGAAACGCATAAAGAAACTTAGCGCATACGAAACTTAGCGCGGCCGCCCAGCCGCGGTGGTCGACTATGACGAACAGTTTCAGTCTATCTTGAAGGAACTGCTGGTCTTGGATGTCGGCCGGGGGCCGCTCAGTGGCTAGGAGTAGCACTCTGATTTCTTGGCGGTCCCTTGTTTGATAGTTCTCGTTGATAAGCCTCTGTTGAGAGAGGTAGTTCCGCCACTGCTGGTTCAACTCGGGCGGCGGGAGCACCAGCGGAGGTGGGCCGTCCATGGGGCGCTGAGAAGCCGAACCCGGCCGAGGTGTTGAGTCTGGTTGCGATGGCTGGGAAGCACGGCCCGGCCGGGGCGGCTGTAAAAGAGTCGCCACTCGGCGGGCGAGCTGTTCCAGCTGGTCGTCACCCAGAAGCACCGGCTGGGTGGGCCTCGTGCCCCCGGCACCGCCTTCGGATCGATCCAGCTCGAGCTGTAGCTGGCGAGCCACCTGGCTCCTGGTGTTCCTCGACGGCGTGTCGGCTGCTGAGAGTCGTTGGCGCGATGTGGAGGGCGTACCTGGGCGGTTGTTGCCCATCCGCTCCTTGGAAGGGCAGAATCTGGCCGCGGGTAGGCACCGTGGTGCGTCCCGCTAGGCCAGAGGGAAATCCTGCGTCGCACTCCGCACTCACAGCCCACTTAACCCTCGCCCTGGCAGGGGGGGGGGGGTCGATGCGACCCCCCCCTAAGGTTTTTCGGAGATAGCGTGAAAACGGCGGCGCGCAGCGCCGCCAAATTTGGCACAGCCTATGGGGCAACCTTTTTACATATGACCTGAAAATTTCAGGTCCGGGTGACCTTGGGTCAGGTCACCAGGTCAGAAAAACCGGTACAAGGTCATGGTCAAATTTCAATTTTCTTTTTGCACCTGTCCAACTCACAGTTTTGCACTGATTTCCTTCAAACTTTCAGGATGTGCTAAGTTCACCGAGTTGTATAGCATATAGTTCGGGTTTTTTGAGGTCACTGACCTGAGGTCAGTTAGAGGTCATTACGTCGTAATGTTAAGCCTATGGGAAAATACTAAATTCGGAAAATACTGGAGATATCCGCTTTGTTCTATCACTTTTGTGCTTTGAAACCACAGTACTGAACAGCAGGTCACTTGGTGTTTCTTTGTTTGGTGTACTTATCCATGGGTCAGGTCAAATGAGGTCAACTGAGGTCAAATGACGTTTTTGCCAATAACTTGGCACATAATGACGCTAGAGCTTAAAAAATGGTATCATTGTGTTCCTGGTGATCAGCCGAATCGAATGATATGCGATATGATGCAATTTGGTTAACTTTAACTTAATTTATTAATTTAAGTTTACTTAAAATTTAAGAAAAACTTTAAGTACACTTAAGCAAGCTATAAAGTATATCATTCGACGCGCCTTGACGTGCTGAGTTCACTGGTGCTTTTCTTTTTGCTCTATCTTAATTAGATCAAAAGTTATAAGCGAAAAACTTTTGACCTGTTTTTAGCGAAATTTTTGCATTTATACCCCCCAAAACCCCCCTAAATATTGACCTAGAGCAACCAAATTTGCACAGGGGTGAGAACTCCAGAGGGCCCACCTACCTACCAAATTTGGTGTTTCTAGGTGCCATAGGAGCCAATCGCGAGGGGGGGGGTCGCATCGACCCCCCCCCCCTGCCAGGCCGTGTTATGAAAAATGCCCTGCCAGGGCGAGGGTTAATAGAGGTTTTCACTTTTCGCCACCTAGCACTTGGGACGCTCCCCTCGTCGGAGCGTCCTGAGTCGCGGTCACGGCGAAACTGAGCCGTTAACGGCGGCCGAGGGCCCGCGCAGGGGCCTAGGCCGCTTCCCATTGGTCGGCCGCGCTGACGTCATGTCGGCAGCCGTTAGAAAGCGCGCGAAAAACGGCGTTGCAAAATGGCGTTGCTTCCTTGCTCAATGAGTGTAAAAGGGGTGTTTCCAGAAAGTTCTTATCCCGATCTATTCCCTTATTACACCCCGATCTGGGCATCGCCGCCCTAGGTGTACAGATGGTGTTTCAACGATGGTGTTCGTATAGTGTAAAAAGGGTGTTTCCAGAAAGTTCTTATCCCGATCTATTCCCTTATTACACCCCGATCTTGGCATCGCCGCCCTAGGTGTACAGATGGTGTTTCAACGGGTGTCCGGACAAATTGCCGAAAGGCGATTTACCGAATGTCATTTTGCCGAATGCATTTCGTCGAATGTCATTTTGCCGATGTGCTTTTTGCCGACGTGTCAAAAAGTCGAAATGCTAAAAGTCGAAATGCCATTTGCCGACATGCCTTTTTGCCGAAATGCCAATTTACCGAAATGCCTATTAGTCGAAATGTAAATTTGCCGAAATGCGATTTGCCGAAATGTCGATTAGTCGAAATGTAAATTAGTCGAAATGTAAATTTGCCGAAATGTCAATTTGCCGAAATGTCAGTTTGCCGAAACGTCAATTTGCCGAAATGTCAATTT